AAGTTCCTCGAGCATCCTTTTAACCAGTGTTTTGAATTCTGCTTCTGATAGATTGCTTATCTCCATTTCATTCACCTCTTTTTCTGGAGTTTTGATCTGTTATTTCATTTGGGCCATGATTCTTTGTCTCCTCATTGGAATCTTCCCTGTGTTTGTTTCTATGTATTAAGTAGAGCTGTTTTGACTCAGTGTCTTGGTCATGTGGCCTAATATAGTAGGTGTCCTGTAGGGTCCAATAGCACACCCCTCCTTCACGCAAGCTGGATACATTAGGTACACCCTCCTCTTTTAGTTGAGCCTTGATTGCTGTTGGCAGGACAATGGGAGGGATTTACCCAGGCCAGTCGCCTGCAAGGATTGGCTGTGACCACTGACCACCAACCTCCACCCTCCGGGGAGGATCAGCTGTGCAGGGGCAAGGTGGTGGTGCTCTGACGTGTTCTGTAGCTATCCACTGGGTGCGCAGGCTCTGGGATTCCTGGGTGGTGCACGGCAAGGTCAGCCCACACCTGCGTTTTGCCCAGGGCCACCTTGCCTGAGCTGTAAAGCATCCTGAGATGGCTGCTACTTGTGCTGGGCTTCGAGATTCCCACGTGAAGCCAAGCTGTGAATCTAGGCTAGCTGCTGCTAGTGCTTGGCCTGGGACTCACTGAGGCCAGCAGCTGCTTGTTTGAGAGGATTTAGGAAGTTGTGAAGCATGAGCCAAGCCCAGCCATTCATATGGAAAAGCAGCTTGGGTACACCCGTAATTGTGTGGGGTTGAGTCTCTGGGCATCTCTAAGGCGGGTCAAACAGTGTTAGCCAGGTTGATGGAGTCTCAGATATGGTACCAGCTTGCTGGCTCTGTGGAGTGAGGGTTTATAAAATGGACAATGGCCTCCACTTGCCCCCGATGCCAGACACTTCAGTTTCTCCCTGTATACCACTGGTACCTTTGAAGCTGCTACCTCGGTGCTGGAGCTCAGAGGGTGTGAGCCTGAGTAGGTGAGTCCATGTGTGGGTTCTTTAAGAGGAACTGCTTGGGGCTCCAGAATTTTCTTCCACTGACTCAGTCCCTGCTGGTTTTTGTAACCAGAAGTTGTGGGGTCTTACCTTCCTGGCACTGGAACCCTGGGCTGGGGGACCCAGTGTGAGGCTGGGACTCCCGAGATATCCCTCCTGAACTTTTATCCACCAAACGTGGATGTGGGACCAGCACGTTCCACATCTGTGCCCCTCCTACCAGTTTGGATAGATGTGGTTTCTTTAATTCTGTAGTTGTCAGACTTCCATTCAGCTTGATTTCTGATGGTTCTGAGTGATGGTTGTTCTATATTTTAGTTGTAGTTTTGATGTGGTTGTACAAGGAGGTGAGCCTTGTCTGCCTATGCTCCCATCTTGACCCGATGTGTCTCAGACTTCTAATAGTCTCAATTTAAGTACAGTAAACTAAGACATAAACCACCATTTCAGCCATCTACATGGTCAGGAATGGGTTCTCAAAGCAGTGGTCTATAGACCATGTGCTTCAGAGTGAATGATGGGGCCTGTTAAAATGCACACCCTGGTAGCCTTAGATTCTAGGGATGCTTTCATATACAAAATGAAAAATACAAATAATAAAAGCTTTTATTTTAAGAGCCACCACTTGAAAGAAACTGCAGAATTGTGGCAAGAGAGGCAGGGTGTGGGTCATCTACTGTGAATGTGAGTGTCTTTTTCTCTTTCTCCTTAATCTCTTTTAGTTTGGCACTATCTTATTATATTGTAAAACACAGGCTATTTCTCTGCAAAGCCTTAAAAGACAGAATGGGCCTTGCGAAGCATTGACATGCTCCATGCTCGTTTTTTCAGCATGGGGCCCCAGTCCAAGGCCACCGAATCAGAATCTCTGCAACTGTGGATCTGAATTTCACCAAGTTTTTCAGGTGATTCTGAAGCACACTAAAGTTCTAGAAAAACTGAAGACAAGAGGAGAAAACAAAGGTACAAAGGGTAGAGAGCACAGAAACAGAAGTTGAACCTAAGGTGCATTAATGGAAGAATGTGGGCCTATAAGAGTAAGTTGAGGCAAGCGTTCAAAAGGACCTCACTGTGAGAGTCAGGGGGTTGACTTGTATTCTACTGTCAACAGTGAGCTATTCCTCTCAGCGTCACAGTAGATTAGTTAAGAGCCTGAAATCTGAATCCGTACTTCCAGAGTTCAAATTTTAGCTCCTTGATTGACTAGTTACATGACCTTGGAGAAGTTTTTTTTTTTTAATTTTATTTTTAATTTATAGTTTACATTCAAAATTATTTTGTATTAGTTTCAGTTGTACAACATAGTGATTAGATAATCATACTTTACAAAGTATCCCCCCCAATATTTCCAGTACATACCTGGCACCATACATAGTGAAATAGGTGAAGGGATTAGGAAGTACTAATTGGTAGTTATAAAATAGTAATGGGGTTATAAGTTACAGCATAGGAAATATAGTCAATAATATTGAAATAACTATGTGTGGGGCCTTGGACAAAGTTTTAACCCCTTTCTGCTTCAGCAGTTTAATCATCTATAAAATGGAGATCATGGGATTAAATAAGTTTATACCGTAAAGTACATAAAATTGACTGGCATCTAGTTTGGTATATGTGTCAGCATAAAGACTTTTGAGCAGGGGTGTATCATGATTATGGCTATCTTTTGGGAAAATTAAGCTGGTGGTAATGTATATTCATTCACTACCAGCAAATCTTAAAACTTTTTCCTTATCAGTGGTTCTCAATCTTGGCTGCACACTGGAATCACCTCTATCACACTGACCCCTAGTCTGGGCATAAATGTACCTAGGTAATTCCAATATATGCACATGGTTGAGAACCAATGCTCGAAATATACTTCAAATCTGTCCATTTTTTGGTAACGGAATCCTTATTATATGCATGACACTGTGCTTGGTCCTCTTCCTGCATTATCTCACTTGAACCTCACACCCATTTGGAGTTAGGTGTTAATGTTATCTTTACTCTAAAGATTGTTAGAAAACTTGAGTACATTGCACATCATCACCCAGCTAGTAGCAGGACTGGGATGAGAACCAAGGCAGCCTAGCTCTAGAAGCTCCATTTGAACCACTGCTTGACACTGTATCCCCAGAGCCGACACCCTCCTTCCCACACTAGTGAGACACCTTCCTGGTCTCATGCTTTATTGCCTCCCTCCAATCTAGTCTTGACACAACAGCTGTTGAGATCTTTAAAAACATCAACTGGATCTTATCATGCCTCTGTGCAAAACCTTCCAATGGCTTCCCAATGTACTTAAAAACTGAAATCCAAATTCCTTTCTCATGGACTTGAAAATCCCACATGGTCTGACTCCTGTTTACCTCTCAAGCCCCATCTCGTGCCAATTTTGACCATAAATACTCACTATATTCCAGCTATGCTGATCTTTAAATTACTTGAATACTCTAAACTCCTCTCTGCCTGAGGCCTTTGAAATTGCTTTCCTTTCTGCCTTGAATTCTCTACCCCCAGGATCTTCACATGGATGTCTCCTTTTCATCTTTCAAGTCTGAGCTTAAATGTTATCTCAGAGAGCCCTTCCCAATCACTCAACCTATAAGCTCTCAGCTCTTTTTTCCCATCTCAGTCCTTTATATCCTTCATAGTACAGTTATCCCTTGGTATCCCCAGAGGATTGGTTCAGGAACCCCCCTGCAGATACCAAAATCTGAGAATGCTGAAGTCCCTCATATAAAACTGTGTAGTATTTGCACAGAACCCATACTTACATATAGGCTACAGTGGGGTATGCCTACACATCACTTCATTCACGTGGGTTAACCATAGTGCTCAGCACATGGTACATTCAAGTTTTGCCTTGGGAAACTTTTTGGGTTTTGTTTTCCAAATATCTCGATCTTTAATTGGTCGAATCCACAAATGTGTAACTCATGAATATGGAGAATCAATTATACTTGTACTGTTGATATTCAGATATTTGTTTTCTTGTTTTTTATTTGTCTTCTCTGGTAGAATGTGAGTTACATAAGAGCAAAGGACATATCTTTGCTGCTATATATGCCAAATAATGATTATATAGATTGTGTACTCCACAAGGGTGCCACAGCTAAGCGGGTATATTCACAAGGATTTTCTGGCAAATGGCAGTAAAGTATCTTAGGCAAGGGGATCCATTTTGAAATTCACATAAAGATGCCATAGAGTATAGCAGGTGCCCTCTATGTCTACTATTTTCATCAATATGTATCCAGCTTCTAGCACAGTGCTCAGCATACAGTAGATGCTCAATAAATATGTTGATTGGATGGAAGGAAAGAAGACAAAACTAGGGAAAGCAGGAAAATTGAGGGATATAAAAGACTGATAATAGATTTGATAATTTGGGAAGTCTCAATAAAGGAGAAATTAATGGTGGCTATATTTGATCTTAGGAACTTAGAAAAAAGTGGTGCAATTCATTATCAAATAGTACCCAAAGAAGAAACAGACAGTCTTAAGAAAGTGACAATTCCATTTTAGATATAATTTGAGAAGACAGTGCCTTATATTTTGCTTTTATTGAGTTTGTCACCATCCTACCATGGGATTTTAAAGAATATACATAAATTTGCCTTGCACAGTCTTCAAAATGGTCATGTCAAAGCTTCGCAAGGCCCATTCTGTCTTTTAAGGCTTTGCAGGGAAATAGCCTGTGTTTTACAATATAATAAGATAGTGCCAAACTAAAAGAGATTAAGGAGAAAGAGATAAAGACACTCACATTCACAGTAGATGACCCACACCCTGCCTCTGTTGCCACAATTCTGCAGTTTCTTTCAAGTGGTGGCTCTTAAAATAAAAGCTTTTATTATTTGTATTTTTCATTTTATATATGAAAGCATCCCTAGAATCTAAAGCTACCACAGAAATGTCACTTTCCCTAGGATACTGGGCAGGTATTTTCCTCTCTTCTAAGTCTTGCTACTTAGAGTGAGAGTACCATAGGTCTTGGGATATGGAATACCTACCTCTGCATACCCGACAGCAGGAATCTGGAACAGACACAGGGAATGTACAGCTTAACTTGGGGCAGGTCTTGAGACCACAGTACACATTTCCCTCCTGTCAAGAAGAAACAGAATAAGGTCATGAGGAGGCTTAGCTAGGTACTTGGGGTGAAAAGAGGCTCAAAACATCGCATATCAATTCCCACTGTTCTCCCATAGTTGATTCTAGGTACTTTCTAAATTTTACTAGGCATTCTTTTCTTCTATTTGCTATTTTGCCATGCCAGAGACTAAGTCACAGAAAAGGTACCCTCCTTATGCATCCTGGTCTAAGATGGCACAAAGGTGTCAGTGTGAGGGTTGTCATGGGCCTCGAAATCACCAAATACAGTCTTGTCCCTCTCTCCTCTGTTCATTGTATCCCTTGGTTCCCATCATCCCTTAGATGGATGTTGGGGATTTCAGGAACTGTGGATTTGCATGATAGTCAATTTTTGTAACTCTCAGTAGAGTCTCCCTTTCAAATCCAGGAGATGCTCTCTCTGGGGTAATACAAAACTATACAAATGATCTAAGTTGACAGCTCAGTCCTGCAAGAAGCAGAGGAGAGGATCAAGTTTACTTGCTGCTATATGTGTCTTTGCATAATCTTTATTTCCTAAAATCCTATATTCCAAACATTTTTCCTTAAGCCTTACTCTAAGTTCTTAAAAACATATAATTCTGGGGCTAGAAGGGTTTCTGAAAGGCTAGGAAGGCAAGGCCACAACCAGATTATCCCAAACTACAGAGATACTACATTTTTACTAAAATATCCCTGTAGGAATAGAGTCTATAACTTCCCTAGGAAATCCAGAGTTTAATGCCCCTTAGAGGAAAAAGTTTTTTCTACATCTAACTTTATTCCCTCACACTTCAGTTTAAATACCCATTTTACTTCATTTCCTGTTTCTACCTATTTCATTCTCTGGACTGCACAATTAGTTGATGATATAATCAGTATACTTTGTTCCTAAAGTATACACATTCTTTTGACAATTAATGTCACAGTATCAGTCACATTTTCTCAGGAGAGTTCTCATTGCAGGGCACCAGGGATGAACTGGTTAATAGAAGACTTCAGAGATGAAACCAAGAGATACCCCATTTTCTTCTGAATTGCATTGAGTGGCCCTAGATGGGGCCTGTGGTTTTTTCACCCATAACATCCCAAAAACTTCAAATAATTGTATTATTCAGATTAAGACTTTAGTGGTATAACTATTGTTAAAAAAAAAAAGTGCAAGCTCTGGCTGGAGTGGCTCAGTAGATGGAGTGCTGGCCTGAGAACCAAAACATTGCTGGTTTGATTCCCAGTGTAGGGCATATGCCTGGGTTGTGGGCCAGGTCCCCAGTAGGGGGTGCATGAGAGGCAACCACACATTGATGTTTCCCTCTTTCTCTCTTCCTTCCCCCCTCTTTAAATAAGTAAATCAATATCTATTTAAAAAAAGAAGTGCGTATCAAGACCACCAGCTCATCACTGTCCATTTAAGCAGTCCTAAGGCTCTAAGACTGGGATATGACTGGGTCTGAGCTCTTTAATAGGGTTATTCAGGGTTGATGAAATCAGGGAGTCTGGATTGGCAGGCATGCCTATGATTTAAATGAACTTCATCTTCTATTCAAACACCCTATAGTGTAGACTCAAAATAAAGGTATAAACACAGAAGAAGCTATTTTAATTGGGTAGGGACTAGCAGAGACTTTAAGATGCAACATCTTACCGAACAGCTGCACTGGGCACACTGATTGGGTTGCCGGTTCTGAAAGAGTCCTTCAGCCATGAACATCTCACCATGTTGGTAAGTAGTCCCATTGTACTCACACGATTTGCTGGTCACTTTATTGTTCACTGGGGGTAAGGAGTCTTCTAGCACAGGGTGGAGAAGAACCATAACAAATATTGATGTAATTGCAAAGAATTTCATAAACTCAAAAAGTAGGTGGGATGTACCACATAGAGGGCGTTAAAAAAATAGTCCCTCATTCGTGGCCGATGACGAAAAAATACAGATATGCCTCTCTTTATTGTGCCTCACTTTATTGTACTTCATATATGTTGTGTTTTTTTACAAATTAAAGGCAACACCTTCCACACTAAGAAATATTACAACTTGCTTTATTGTGATACTTGCTTTATTGAAGTGGTGTAGAACCAATCTTGCAATATTTCTGAAGTATGCTTATATTAAAGCCGGCAGACAAGAATAGCAACTGACACGACCATCATCCATTCTTTCATTTGTTATGCATTTAGTAAGCAACTACTCTCTGTGATAGGCACTAGAGAGAGATCAGATAAGGAGGACAGGGACCCTGCCTTGATGAAGCTAACAGACCTAAAAGAATAAGGTATTAGTCTTCCGGTCAAGATGGGAGCATAGGCAGACAAGGCTCACCTCCTTGTACAACTACATCAAAACTACAACTAAAATATAGAACAACCATCACTCAGAACCATCAGAAATCAAGCTGAATGGAAGTCTGACAACTACAGAATTAAAGAAACCACATCTATCCAAACTGGTAGGAGGGGCACAGATGTGAAACGTGCTGGTCCCACATCCACGTTTGGTGGATAAAAGTTCAGGAGGGATATCTCGGGAGCACGGAGTCCCAGCCTCACACTGGGTCCCCCAGCCCAGGGTTCCAGTGCCAGGAAGGTAAGACCCCACAACTTCTGGTTACAAAAACCAGCAGGGACTGAGTCAGTGGAAGAAAATTCTGGAGCCCCAAGCAGTTCCTCTTAAAGAACCCACACATGGACTCACCTACTCAGGCTCACACCCTCTGAGCTCCAGCACCGAGGTAGCAGCTTCAAAGGTACCAGTGGTATACAGGGAGAAACTGAAGTGTCTGGCATCGGGGCAAGTGGAGGCCATTGTCCATTTTATAAACCCTCACTCCACAGAGCCAGCAAGCTGGTACCATATCTGAGACTCCATCAACCTGGCTAACACTGTTTGACCCGCCTTAGAGATGCCCAGAGACTCAACCCCACACAATTACGGGTGTACCCAAGCTGCTTTTCCATATGAATGGCTGGGCTTGGCTCATGCTTCACAACTTCCTAAATCCTCTCAAACAAGCAGCTGCTGGCCTCAGTGAGTCCCAGGCCAAGCACTAGCAGCAGCTAGCCTAGATTCACAGCTTGGCTTCACGTGGGAATCTCGAAGCCCAGCACAAGTAGCAGCCATCTCAGGATGCTTTACAGCTCAGGCAAGGTGGCCCTGGGCAAAACGCAGGTGTGGGCTGACCTTGCCGTGCACCACCCAGGAATCCCAGAGCCTGCGCACCCAGTGGATAGCTACAGAACACGTCAGAGCACCACCACCTTGCCCCTGCACAGCTGATCCTCCCCGGAGGGTGGAGGTTGGTGGTCAGTGGTCACAGCCAATCCTTGCAGGCGACTGGCCTGGGTAAATCCCTCCCATTGTCCTGCCAACAGCAATCAAGGCTCAACTAAAAGAGGAGGGTGTACTCAGCCCACACAAAGCGTGCACCTCAAGTACCCTGGTTGGGTGAGAGGGGAGGCTGTGCACTGTCTTTGGCTTCAGTGGTTCTAGTGACTAACTTAATTCTATGCTCTGCTATGTAAGTTTATCTAGCTTCAATTTCTGCATAACTCACCCCTTGGATGTTCCTTACTTATAATGACCCCTTACAGAATACAAAAGAAGTTCTTTAATTTTGCCTTAAAAAGAAGCACCCTTAGCTCTATAATGTGTTAAACTTATACTAATATACCCTCTAGTCTGGCCGATGAGCCCTGCTCTTGCCCACAAATACACACCGGTGGACAGCTGCAGTTAGTAGAGAGGAGCGAATGAAACCCATTGGGGAAAGGACAGGAGCAGGACCATTTGCCCCTTGAGTTTTAATTATACCAAACCTCAGTATTTTTTTGATAAAGGAAAACTAGTATGACCTACAAAACAATATTTGCCATGATTCTTACAGGAGCTGGTGGATCTTTAGAATACCAAGTGAAAAAAAATGTTTCAAATTATTTTTGCCTCAAAAGAATGTGAATTGATTTTTGAACTGGACTCCCACCAAGGGATCAACAGCAAGACAACCCCAGGGTGAGGTCTTCCAGTGGAAGCATGACCTGAAGAGTCTTTCTTGCAATGGTCTTCACAGTAACCTGACATTAGAGTCTATTAATCTATTCAGTAGGAGATGGTGAAAAAGGAGGAGGACTATAAAAGTAAAAAGAAGCCATATATTTATTGTTATGCTTAATATCAGTTTTATACAATAAATTTAACATCTTCCCATTTATTCTTATTTCATGTTTCTACTATCCTTAATGTAGTGATAGGAAAATTATGAAAATGAGGCTACTGATGCCCTCAAAAGTTTTGGCCCATGCTACACAGCTATTTATTGGGAGAGTCAACTTAGAAATATAGTTTTCCTGCATCAAACCTTATGTTGTTCATGTTAAAACTAGGGGGAAGAAAAAGAAAATTGGTACCTGAAAAGATATCTGTGCTCCCATGTTTCCTGCAGCATTGTTCACAATAGCCAAGTTATAGAAACAATCTACATGTCCATTGATGGATGAATGGATAAAGAAATTGTGATATATGTTTCTCTCTCTGTCTCTCTCTGTCTCTCTGTCTCTCTCTCTCTCTTTCTCCCCCCCACACACCCCCCAAATGTTAATGGAGGTGTTTTACTATACCTGACACTAATAGCTCCTTGAATGCGTAAATGAATGCATACACACACACACACACACACACACACACACACACACACACACACACACACACACACATAATAAAATAGAACTGTATACCCTGGCTGGGTAGCTCAGTTTGTTAGAGTATTGTCTGGGTATGCCAAGGTTGTTGGTTCAATCCCCAATCAAGGCACATACCAGAGTCAACCAAAGAATGCATAAATAAGTGGAAGAACAAATCAATGTCTACCTGTCTTTTCTCTCTCCCCACCATAAATAAAACCCAGAACTGTAGAGTTCAAAGGGTTTGACCCTAGATCTCAGAAACACAAGGAGACAATGGCAATTCACTCACACAGAGGAATATTATTCTGTCTTAAAAAAGAGGTCCTGCCATTTGCAACAGTATGGATAAACCTGAAGGACATTATGGTAATTAAAATAAGTCATATATGGAAAGGAAAAAAACTGCATAATCTCACTTTATATGTAAATTTTTGAAAAGTTGCACACATAGAAGCAGAGAATATAGAATGGTGGTTACCAGGGGCAGGGGGATGGAACAAATTGGGAGATGTTGGTCGAAGGGTACAAAGGTGCAGTTATGTAGGATAAGTAAGTCTAGAGGTCTAATGTACAACATGATGTCTATAGTTAACATTGTAGTGTTATCCTGCAATACGCTAAGAGAGTAGATTTCAGGTATTCTCATGACAAAATAAATAGTAGCTATGTGAGAAGATGATGTTAATTAGCTTGAGTGTAGTAATTTTTGAATATGTATATGCATATCAAATCAGCATATTGTATACCTTAAATATATACAATATTTACTAAAATATTTTTTTAAAAAAAACTAGGGGCAGGATCACCCAGTTTTAACTAACACCCATCTGGTCATAACCCAACATCTGGTACCCACTCTTCATATCCTTGCACAAGCCACTTTTCCCTCCTTCAGTCTCAATTTTTCTATCTAATAAAACATGAGACTCAAATCTCCCCTTGCATTTTTAGAGCGCCAACACAGCATGCAAGGAAGCACAGATTTTCCAAGGTGATTGGGCTTCTAACCAACTATCCTTGAAACACATTGTGTTTCTGGCTGAGAACTGGCATAAAATCAGTCTGAAGCTTAGCTGGCTTAAGGTCCCATCAGGAAAATGCTACAATACAAATGACCAGGCTGAATGGCGTCTACCTTCAGCTATCTCCCGTGTTTCTAGTCAAATTCCACACAGCACTCTCCAGAGTGAAGGAAGATCATCATGGGGTAAGCTGACAAAAAAAGCACTAAAGCATATAACTAGAGTTGTGCTGGGAAAAGAAACTATTTCTTCTCCCTCAGGGAGGGATGGTCTTATACGGGAAGGTGGGGGAGGCAAAAGTAGGTTTATAGTTGTGAGCACTGAAACAGATTTTATTCTTTTATTATTATTTATTAATTACTATATTATTTTCCATATGAACAACCGCAAACCTACTTTTGCCCAAGCCTCTATGTAAGCAGAACTATGATTTCTGGGGTTCTCAGAAAATGCTTTTATCCTAAATATTCCTTACCTCCTTTCTACCATGGGTGTGTAAAATGCCATAATTACAAGTCCATTCCTTTCGGGTATATGGTTGCCTTTTAGCAATCAGATTTTATAATCCCAAAACTTCTGTGAGAGGCTACCTACTGTCACTAACACCTTAGTGTGAATAACTTTGCCACAGGCTTTTTCTCTTTTTTTTTCCCCTCAGAGAAACTGGCAAATTTCACTAAGAATTCTGTGGTCCTATCCTACTTGCTTTGGTATACCATTCTCTCCATTCCTGGCACTACCCTTCTTCCCACCCTCTGGAACCCAAAATCCTCATGCTGATTATTCTCTTCTCCACTTTCCTTACCCTCAAATGTGTATTTTCTTAGTGGAGCAGTTCTCAGCTAGTCAGAAAGGCTGCTTGTACATCAAGAGACAAATAAGCTCTCAGTGTTAATGCAATAAACACAAACCTGTCCAGATCTTCCAGGGGTCAGTTGTTAATCTCCTTGACTCCAAGCCCTCCCTTCTTTTGCCTCTGCTAATGTTAATTGGGTTCCTACTTTACTTTTGGTGACGGAACCTTGTGGATGTAAAAAGGGTAAGAATCTTCACAAGGTGATCCCATCATAAATTCCTAACAGGGTAGCTCAT